AGTGTCAAAGCACTCATACGACTGACCACATCATTCCTGAAAATAATGAGCCAGTTCAGCTACACTGAGATTTAAATTCCCATCTCTCAGAATTATAAAGAAAAGTTTTCCCCAAGGTACTCTCAACCATCAAAGCAAAAGGAACATCTGAGCCAGTTAGGTATTAACTGAATTAGGATCTTCAATACAGATTTAAAATCAATGGGGTCATTGTTTAACTGGAGGCTTACAAGAAGCTAGTTATAACGCGGATAGCCACAGCTCATCCAGAAACATGCTGTTTCCTATTCCAATAATCTGAGCAGATCATGAGAACAAAGTTGAGAGGGAAACTATTGTCTGTGACTTAGGAAAAAGCTTCAAAGCTCCATTTCTGGATCAGAAGATGCAGGGACATCCCTGCAGATGGGATGCAGCAGAAAGCAGCTGGTGCACAGGTTCAGTTTTGTCTAGCAGCTCAGGTATAAATCATTCCACCTTGCTGATATGAACACAAAAGGCATCTGTTTCTGTACCACTACTGACGGCAATATTTTGATTAATAGTTCTCACCTCAAAAGCCCACCTGAAGAGTCCTGCTAGAAGAGACCGATTCTACCCAGAAAAGTAAGATTCTAGTTTTTGGGAGACAGGGAGGAAAGAGTCAGGGAAGGAAGAAGAACGCTGCCCAGACTGGTTATGCTGTCTGCATCCTTAACAGTACTCCAAGATCCAACTGGATAAAGCCCTAAGCAACCTTATCTGACCTTGCACCTGAGCTTGCTTTCTGCAGGTTGAACTGGAGACATTTTTAAGTCCTTTCCAACCTGAATTAGTCCATGAAGTACATATTTAGAGTAAAAGTAAGCTTGTGAGGGTTCTTGTATACATTCTAGTAAGTTTTCTTTGGTAATGGACTGAAAAAAATAAGTGCTTGCAATAACATGGTCATATCATCACCCTTTATCAGTGTTAAGTCATCAGTCTGACAAAATGACACAAATTCCATTTGCCATAATAATGATTTCCTACTTTAAGATAACCTCTTTTAAATTCTGTTACACAATAATAGTTCCAGACTCAATTCTAATTACTGAGCCAATGATAGTCACCATTACCATTATAATGGATCAAGAGAGCAAGGACATAAAAGCAGGCCCGGAAAATACTGGCCTACTCATCTTTTAAGTGATCTCTTCAGAATTTCATTATGTTGAATCCCCCTCAATGTAATGCCACAGAAGGGAAGAGTTTGGTTTTTTTAAAAAACAAAGTTAAGATAGTATTAAATCCATGAACTAAGCAACTAAGTGAACTTTATTCAGACAAATAAGAAGGCCTCAAGTAAAAGACATACACCTACATACATTCAATGTGCAGGAAGGACTTCTCAGATGTGTTCTTCACTCAGGAAAAATCCCAAAATTAACCTTTTGCACAACATTACACAAATTTTTTGCACAAGACTCAACATGACATCAGAATGCCTGCTGTCAGGGCACACAGACTGAAGCACAATAGAGCTGAGAACACAGCAGTGATCCTTTTCACACTTTAAAAACACATAAAATAGACAACTGAAAAAGAGAATTGCCCTATCAGCATTCAGCAAAATTCTTTGGGGATACTGGTATTCTCTATGTATTTAAATGAAACAAACTCTTAACCATGCTAGGTTTTTGGATGAATTTTCAGCCAAATTAGAAGTTAAGATCAGCAGATAAGCTTAATAATGTGCCCTGCAATAAAGAGGGTTTGCTATAACCAGTTAAGCTTTATTAATGCTGCAAGTACAGAAGACTATCTAATTCCTACACATCAGCAATATAAAGGGTGAAAAATTCTATTCACACCAGTCAGAGATAAATGTTACTTGCCTTGCCTATAAGGGAGGCATATCTGGCTACCCACTAGCAACTCGTAAATAGAGTTGCTAGTTTTATCAAACAGGAAAAAAAAAAAAAACATACTCTGTAAGATACCAAAATGATATACTCCATAAAACCACTGGCCCACTATAAGCGACTAAGTTAGTCCCTTAAATCTCATAAGGGATCTGAGTATGATGAGTTGATGCCACACTTAGTGTACAGGGCCAGAGAAAGTAACCGGTTTAGGAGGTAGTATGGCAGAAGACATGAACTGACCTAACAAGAGCACTAGATTTCATTTAATCCCTAGCATTAAAATATCTAGAAGTTGAAAATAATTCAGAGAGTAAAAATTCTTACGAAATATGGAACTTCAAGCTCATGAGACAAAATCTCTGCACAAGTGTGGCAAAAAGCAGTCACTTCCAATGCATAAAAATGTTAGGTCAATTCTGAGGTGATTACATAGTGCTCTTCTGGAAAAGAAATATGCTGAAAAAGATAACATTAATGTTTAATTGTCATTTTAGCACCACAGCCTCCAAGAAAAAGGTCAAGCAGGCATCCACAACAGGCAACTGAAAGCACAGGAACTCGCAGAATAAAACCATCTGGGATCAGGCCTTCACAAACCTTTGTCCTGCACCATCTTAAGCAAAAATTTAACCAGTTATAGGTCAAAGGAAAGTTAACAATTAAAAAATAACTCTCCCATCCCCTAAAGATATATAAAGGAAAGCAAAGCATGGCCATGTCATACATTGCATGTTTTCTGCAAAAAATTCTGAACTGAACCAAACCCCCAAATTAGCTAACAGCTGCTCCCCACAAGGCCAGCTTCAACTTATCTTCCTCAGTGTCCTCTGTCAAGCAGCTTCACATATCAGAGGTGGCTAGCTGATAGGAAAGACACAGCATAAGGACTTGGAACATAAAGTGAAACAGGACTGTAGCTTTGCACTCTACAGATAAGCAAGAGTTTTATCTTCATATGAAAACAATACACAAAGTGCTTCTATGTAGTTAAATATAACTGACTAGAAATAAATGTCAAAATAGATCTATTGGTATATATGGGGGAAAAAAAGCCGTAAAGTTATTCATCTTTTGACATTTCCCATTAGAAACCTAGTCCACTCCTACAATGGGTAAATACTACCATAAAGAAATTTTGGCAGCAATCCTAAACCTCCAGAACCTCTTGGTATTTGGCATATTTTGAAGTGGGGTAAAATAAACTTCATGGTCTTTTGATTATCCACACACTCCATTAGGTTCCAAAGATTCAGTAAATACCACAAAAATGATGATATATCAACATTCGGCTTTTTTTCCTTCCCTGACCATGAACTAGGCCACAAAATTAACAGGCCTTTTTAAAGAATACTTATACAGCAAATGACCTCCTAGAGTGAACACTGCTTTTCTATTCTGTCTTGGAAAGTTCTCCAACAGCCTGGCTGCAATTTTTTTGTAGGAAACCAGCATATCCCAAGAAAAGCAAAACAAAGACTACAACAGGCACAGTGATCACTGGGGATTTACCCCCCTGCATATGCCAGATTCCCAGAAGAAAGTTTACTGGCGAGGCTGACCACCCACGAAAATTCTCACAGCATAGTACTGCAACTGGGAAGAGAGAAAGGGAAATTCACATAGGCATCCTCAGATTCCCAGTGTACCCACCTCTCTTGCAGTATCACAACTTCTGGTTAGGGCTAAAACCTTTTTATTACAGTATGGTTGCATCTGAAAAAGGCCTCTCATGAGCACCATCTACTAATATGAACGTGTTTCATAACATTTATCCAACTCTCCATGTATATCGGGGTAAGTCATGTTGGTATAACAAAAGCAGAACAACTTTTACTGCTTGCATAAATCCCAGTTCTCTTTTCTCAGGTTTATGCAGACCTCCTTATGCGATCTCCCCTGATGCTGTTGCCCAGCACTTGTGCTATTTAAAAATCACATCTTCATGAACCTGAAAACTACTTGACTAACCCTTGCTGAACTCTGAGCTCCAGATGCTGAACTGCTACTGACACACGTAGGCAAGCGGAAAGCTTGGTCACATGTGTCACCCACCACAGCAGCTGGCATGCTGCCATGCTTTACGGCCAGACCATCATTCTCCATCCACACTCTCTCACAGTGATCTTAATAGAGAATCTACATCTAAATTTAAACGCGGTTTGGTGAATCTTCAATGCACTTCGGTAGGAGCCCTCCGCGTGCCCATCTCTGCCGCCGGCAGGAGCCCGGCCCGTTTCCCTCCCTCGTCCGCGGGCGGCGGCACACCTCCAGCCTGCGTGCCGGGGCAAAGCAGCCCAGCCGCCGCAGGGCCCCGCCCGCGGGAGGCGGTGGCCGGACCGGCGAGCGGGGCCGCGCCCCGGGCCGAGACCCGGGAGGCTCTGCCCAGGCCTGCGGCGCCCTCTGCCGGGGCCCTACTGGCAGCGCCACCGACAGAGCGGGCTCGCGGCGTTCCGGTCCGGCACGCAGGCAGGCAGTTAGTTGCGTGAGTCCTCACCGGTGCCACGGCTGCCCGAGCAATGCCCTCGGCTTCCTCCCGGCCCTCCGCCACCGCCTCGTCCAGCTCGTTCCCGCTGCCCCAAGCCCTCTCGCTGGGCTCCTCCGAGAAGGACACTGGCCCTCCTCGGCCTCCCCCAGGCCAGGCAAACCTAGTCCCTCCACCCTGCCCGCTGGTGCCAGCCCCAGCCGGCTGGGTAGCCTGGCTGTGAGCCTCTGCCTCGCATACTGGGGAGCATGGCAGGCACCGGAGGATTCAGCCAGCCTCCAGCGCCAGAGGTTAAATATCACTGTGCCTAGCGTACTGTCAAGTCTGGGGTCTCTTAATACAAGTCATTTCGCTGTTGGATACTAAATAAAGACAAAAACTTCTGCTATTTCTTGTATGGTTGACACAGCATGCCTTCTTTGTAAATAAAATTATATTTTCTCCATATATGTAACATATGTAATAATAAAATGCTACTAAATCTTAGCAGACAAGATTCTTGTGTACAGAATTCCTTCTGCAAAGATAAGCAAAATCCTCACTTTCCTCCAAATTAAATGCAGTCAAATATTAATATTCTCCATAATTATAGCAGAAGCTTCTTTTTTTTTTTTCTTGAAAGAGTTTCTTACCTTACAAAGCACATCATTCCCATCATCCTCCTCTTTGACACGCAAAGAATTAAGATTTGTGCAGGAGTCTGAGTCTGATATCTCCAGTGAGCTATTGTCTTTTTCTGATCCATCACACCTGTCGGTGGAATCACTATCCTGCTCCCAGTCAATGAACTCCAAGTCATCTGAAATACAGTATTTGTATAAAGAGTTTTTCTTAATCACCATGTATTATTCATAACCACAAGGTCAGAGTAACACTACAGTTATCCCAAACTTGAGAAAACAAATGCAATGTTATTTTTTTTTGCATATGTTCAACTGATCTTTAACTATTTTGTAATCCTGTCTCTCATAAAATCTGAATTGTAGAAGCAGACAATGTTCCGTGAAAAAAGATACAAAAATTACATACAAATAAGATTTCAAAGCACTACTGCCAAAGATATTTAACTGAGGTAGGAAGGGGATTTTTAGTTTAGTAGTTATTAGCTTTCCTAGGGTTAAGTGCTTTGTTTTGGGGGCATTTTTGCCCAATTGCATTTGATTTACCAGTGCACCTGTTCAGAAATCAACTGCTCTAAGCAAACATCTCAGACAGTGATCTGGAATAGCTGAAAACTTAGTGTAAGTTAACATCTACTATTAGTGGTAACCCCCTCACAGAAATAAAAAAGCTAGTTGAAATGGTCACTTCCTAAAACACCATGGCTAAATACACACATCAGCAAAACAAGCCTCTAAGTACATCAGGGAGAGGGTTGTTTAGGATAATTCAACAGAAATAGGCACAAGGAAAGACATGGTATTTTCAAATAACCTCATACTTCTGAGGAGCTCCTGAAGGCAGTGGAAGCCTGAGCTGCTGTAGCAGCCTCCCCACCCTTCAGGTCCAAGTGCCACAAGGTACTGAGAGGAAGAATGTATTTTGTATAAGTGAGCATGTTTGGAGGAGAATGGATGAAAGCTTTTTTGGGTTTGCTTTTCTGCTTCTGTAAATGGCACATTTCTAACACCAGAAGAGTTGTGTGTAGGGGAGAGGCAGCAGAGAAAGGAGGCACCTGCAGAATGCTCCAAGCATCTGTACAGACCTATGAAACCATGGCAGTACCTTCTGGACTTGGCAGTGCTACTATAGTCTAAGTCACTAGTTTCTTCATGGAACTTCCAAACTCTGAAGTCACCCAGAGAAATAAACAGCTCTGGTGTTGCCTGTTTTTTCCACACACATGAATGCACTTCTGTCTCTAACTACGAGAAAGCTTCATCAGAAATTTTAAACACAGACATGGGTGACCAGGCAGAACACACAGGTCTCTGTGGAAGATGTGTGGCAAGCTGCGTGTAACTTGTGGTAGGACTATGAACTCCTTTATAAAATACCAGGCAATCAGTTTTATCTTGTCTTTCTCAGATACTGTTGCCATACTTACAACTGTACCTACACATGCACACACACACAGAGAGATACATGTGTACAATACTGTAAATAGTATATAAGATGGTTACTTGGAAAAGCATGGAAATTACAGTTCATTTACTCCCCACTGCTTTCAGTAACTGCTTTTAATATATTCTGGGTTTTAGAAGGAAAAACAGGAAATTATTTTATTGCCTCAGTACTTCAAGGAGATAACATAATGCATCAGGGTTTCTTCATCTACACAAAGAAACAAGTTTTGCTGTCTTACAAGAGTAAAAACACATCTGTGTGATGGAGAGAATTAAAGATTAAAACCTGCAGGATATACTTGCAGGAGACAAGTCCAATAGAATGATATTAATGACAGGTTAGAAAGATTCCTTGTGAGCATTAGACTGCAGTCTAGAAAATTGTAGCCTTTCCATTTCCAAAAGAAGGAAAGAAAATTACTAGGAATTACAAAAGATGACCAATAGATAGGTCAACAACAGTGCTGTATCAGTGACAAAAATATGAATCAAAAGAGGAAGAGTAAGAATTTTTCTTTTAAACCTAGGGAGCATGTTTACCTGAATTCTCAACACATCAAACAGGAATTAAATTAGCCAATTCATTTGCTCAACTCACAGTGGTGTTTGAACACTTTGCCAGACTTCCAGGATGTGAAGTCTAATTGTAATACTTCAGATCTAGCTTAAGAATTACACAGCTAACCTGATTTATTTTTCACATTGAAAATACCTCCTTGCAGTTCTAATTCAAATTATACATTATCCTAAGTAATGCTTAAACAACAGCACACAAGTAAAGGTTTTTTCAGTCTCCAGCTGCACTTTTTAATCAATTTCTGTCCCTGCTGTCATCCTGTGCTCCATAAATTAGAACAGAAGTCCTAAGAATAAAATTCATGGTTGTCTGCACAGCAAACCACGTTTGTAAAGCAGGTTGTGGCACAGTATCTGTACCACAGCACAGAGATGGAAATAGTACAAATAAACTGTAATATACTGAAATGAACTGACATGCTTTATTCAATGCTGTCTAATCTGGCCAACTAGGCTCCTTTATTCCAAGGTCCAAAACTTTTTGTACAGAATTTATACTAAGAGCTTATTCTATACTCAAAATTGATGGAAAAAAAAACTCCAACTGATTTAACCAAATTAGGATTAGATCATGTTTTGTCAGAATGACCTCAGAGTCATTTCATTTTAGCACATGACAGATCTGCTTGCATTTGAACTTACCTTCATTGCTTCTGTCCTCATGACTGCTAGGCAAATCCTCTATTTCGGAAGCATGATTTTTTTTGGTCTGTAACCTTGGAACCAATGTTTTATTTCCATCGTCTGAAAAATCGCTGCCACTAGAGGTCCATGTTATGCCCTCAGCTTCCTTAGAGCTTTCAGCAGCAGCAGATCCTTTAAAAAGAATTGCAAACTGTTAGATTGTTACAGAAATGTCATTTTGTTAAATTTAAAATTCTTAAATTATACTGGTTTTGAACTGGAAAAGAAGTATCAAATCTGTCACCAGGCAGACAGCAATACTAGAGCATTAACTCACACATACTTCTTACACATATATGTATTATTTTGGTTCTCCACAATAAATGCTCACACTTCATTTTATACAATGAGGCTATCACTTTGTCCTTCACCACAGTGAAGACATACAGTGTCTGACAGTTTTCTACAAACAGTCCTTTTAAAATGGTAAGTGTCCTTTTAAAATGGTAAGTGGATTAAATAAAGACTGTCCTTAGAACTCTGAGTTTGGAATTTCTCCTACTTATACAAAGAACAACAAAAGACTGAAAGTACTCCATCAGCAGTGACTGCTCTCTGGTTTTGTCCTGAGAGAAAAAGAATTTAATCTCCTCAGGAGTAACAAATAAAGAGCTGCATTTTGGAGTGAGACATTTGAATTCAAAATATCTTTATTATTTTAAATAACAAGGAGAAAAGGATTGATGCATGGACCATACATAATTAGCAATCATAGGAAGGCAGAAGATTGTATTTTCTATCACTACTAAAGCTTTTTAGGTAAATGGAAAATTAGACAATTATTGGAGATTTGGAATTAGGCAGGAAGGCCCAGAAGAGAGAAACACAACCGCAACTTCTTCTGCAACACACAAAGATTGTTTTCAAAAACCTGAAGTACAATTTTGAACCCCAAAAGGTGACCAAGGTCACCTACTTGACTCCAACAGAAGCAGCAGAGGTGCTGGAGCATCCTCTTTCATTCTTCTCCTCGAAACGGGAAAAAATGGAGGGAATTAATAGGTCCTTCTCCTCTTTATTATGCCTAGAGTTCTTTTTTTTTTTTTTAATCACAATATTAACAGACTTGGGTGCATATAAAAGACAATGAAAGCAGGAGGTTGGCAACATTCTGATTTTCTGTCTGTTGTTGCTCCTACTTACAAAGTATCTGTTTTTCTCTCATGCCTGCTTGTCTATCTCTAGCAGAAGAAAGAGTAATTTCACCCACTGACTAGACAGCTAAGGGCTGTTTTTCATTCTCCTCTTAAAAATGTGAAGAATTTAAATATCCTGTCCCTGCTGGAACATGCACTATATACAGCATTAACGATGCTTCCTTCACCTGCTCAAGAGCAATAGCTGAACTGCCTGCAGCTTTGTAGGATATATTTCTGGCACTCCAGGTGAATAGAGGAGCCCAATCACAGTAGCATCACAACTGTGCCTCTTACCAAAATTAGCTTCTGATTACAATAACAGAGAGGAAAGCAAACAGTATTTTGAGCAAACTTCTTACTTGCTAAAGGGCTAAACAGCACTAACATGAAATAGTTATACCTCCTGCACATTCAGCAGATGTTAACAGTGCTCCAAGATGCTTCTTAATCCTGGATTTCTTATCAGTAGGTCTCAGGGACTATATTAAAAAGAGACAGATTTAATCACCATGACATTAAAGACAATTTTAACATGTAGCAATATACTCAAAACTGTTGCTATTCACCTCCCCCAACTTAGTAGCACAATTTCAAGTGAGTTTTTCTATCTTCTGCTAAACTGCAATATAACAAATGAAGTAATAATGCATGAGAACAGTATCATAAAATCTGAATTTTCATTGTTTTGGAAAATATAAACTTCTCATGACTATGACAGGAATCACATCTGACCTTGTGAAGAACTAGAGCCAGTATTTTCAGCATTAAAATGTCAAAAGTGGGCAGGAAGAGCACGCTTGATAAAGCATGTGCCCTGATCAAGGGTTATAGAAAGAAGCACTCACTGGCCCTGTCTCTGATTTTATTAAATCCCACAAGCAATGCAATACTGACTGCTCAGTACCAGAGGAAGAAATAGAAAAGCACCTTGATTGAAAATGATTTTCATCACAAAGCACTTCCTACTCAATGCTGGCTGAATGACCATCTCTGTTCATGACCAATGAGACCAATACACACACAAAACTTAAGTATAATTTGATATATGATCCAAAAGAGCATCTGCACCTAGATCTGCAGGGTCATCAAAAAACAGGATTTTATACAGCAAATTCATTACTGCAAGCATACTCTTTAGAATGGCTGAAGAAAGTGGGGTTGTTTAGTCTGGAGAAAGCTCAAGGGGGGACCTTATCACTCTATGACAACCTAAAAGGAGGATGAAGAGAGGAGGTGGCTGGTTTCTTCTTCCAAACAAGTGATGGGACAAGAGGAAACAGCCTCAAGCTGCACCAGTGGAGGTTTAGATTGAATATTAAGGAAAATGTATTCCCTGAAAGGGTGGTCAGGTACTGGAACAGGCTTCCCAGGGAAATGGTGAAATCATCATTCGTGGAAGTGTTCAAAAACAAAACAGCATAGGTGAGGCCCTTAGTGACATGGTTTAGTGATGGACTTGGCAGTACTGGGGTAACAGCTGGACTTGATGATCTTAACGGTCTTTTCCAACTTAGTTGATCCTATCTAGCAAAAAATCTTCAGATGAGAACTAGAATCTTTGTTCTGTATTCTGTAGGAAATGCAGCACTCCATCCCAAAAATCAAATAACTTTTGTATCCTTTAGTGTATCATTGAAACTTTCCAATTGATGTTATCTAGAATATAAAAGGTTAACCTATGTTCAGAAAACTATGAGTTAAGACAATGCCCTCATGTAACCTTGGTTTCCATATTTGTCTACTTTGACATTTGTAAAAATATGCTGTTCATTGGGAAACAAAAAAGGGCAACATCTTGTAATGCAGTCAAGCATGGAAACTGGTTTACTGTCAGTTTACATCTTTTTCTTACGCCACTAAGCCAGCCTTTTACCTCCTGCACTGAAGTGCTCTGAAAACCATCCCCACACCTAAGCCACGCATTGGAAACTGAAGTAGCAGCCCCTGATGTCCTGACATTTGACTTTTTCAGCTGTAGGGGTGTCTCATCTGGGAAGGATGTGCATTCCACGTTCCAAAATCGCTTCCGCTATGAGGGAAAAACAAACCCATTAAAGCACTGTGTACACGCAATTCTGTTAAGTTTATTTATCTAGACTGCCCCTTAGTATTTTCTGAATACTTACAAACAAATTTCAATTTTTGATGAGTTGGGTGAAAAAAAGCCCTGAACAGTTGCAACTATTTTTATGCAACACTAAATACTACCACCACCACCAATGTCATGGGTAACTTTAATTTTTGGTAAGTATATTCCTTTCTGTTGCCTAAGTTACATTTGCATTACCTGCCAACTGCCAGTGAAGCTGAAAATATTACCCTGAACAGGAACAGCTCTGCAAAATATACTTTAACTAAATAATTCCTTGAAATTTGCATTTAAACTGATTTAATTCTGTTATGCAGGGGGTAAAATCAGATATCCCTATACAGCCCTCCATTAAAAAACAACCCCCCCAAAAAAAACCAAAAAACCCCACAACCCAATCCAAAATTCAGACTCTTTCAGCTCTAAGAATAACATTTGATTTCATAACCATTACCCAAAAAATAGTAGATTAAGTGTTGCCTACTCCTTATATGGGATGCCAGGAGTCATTTGGATTAAGGTAAGTCGTGGAACAGGATGCTGATTGGCATCAATGCTTATCTACATCATAGCATCCTGCTATGCATCTCATGCAACAGATTTTAATGCTGAGAATAGCTGAGGATGAGAATTGCCTGTTATCACATTCAAAGTTATCTTTCAGATTCTACACTAGTTTCGACACATAAATTGATCTTGAGCATGATAAACATCTTAGCCCACTATACTACTGAAATTTATCTTACAAAACATTGACTATATTATCTGCCCGAATGCGTCTTTCTTCTTCTATTTTCTCTCAACCAAGTATACTTCTTACATATATTTAAGAATTACTCCAAAGTTACGTTAATCATCATATACATATTCAGCCAGGCTAGTCAATAAGGACTAACACACACTTTAAACTAAGAAACATATGCAAAGAAAGAAAGAAAGAAAAAAAAAGTCTGCCAACTTTTGTCCATTTTGTAACTGACAATGCATATTTTTTTCCTCTACATCGTTTGAGTACTCAGCAGAATGAAACAAGTACTTCCCAAAGGCATCTTACTTCACCCTCCAGTCAGCCAGTCCTATTGTCACCGTGTGTAAAGTCAAACAAGTGGGCTTTACAGTTTCCTCTGACAGTAAGTGACCTTGCCAAGATCCTCTTCTAAAATTGCTGTGGATGTTTACACCCCAAAGCAGCTACTACAAGAGGTCATTATCACCAAAGTCAAACTGTACCCATAACTACTCCCACAGACCTACAAATGAGACACAGTACAATCTTGAATCTGATGTGGTATTAAATAAGGAATCGAAAACACTTTAAATAAGGACACAATGTCAAGTAAGGAGGCTATAGCAGTTGAAACAAGAACATTTAACCTTATAATACAAAGATAATCTAAACCCTGCCTTCCTCCCAGTGAAGCTGCTAGTCCAAGCCTCGATCTCCAGAGACATGAACCTGTACATTGTGCTATCCTCTTGGTAAGTACTGCTGTCTCTGCACAGAAGAAAGCATGGACAGGGCAAATATTAACAACTGAAACACATCAAGTCCCCTTTTTTGGTTCTGCAGGAATATGTCACAGCAAGGCCTCACTCCAGTTGGAGGCATTTACTTTACCTTCATGTCCCCCAGAATGGACCACTTCTGTTAGGGTCAGTTAACAGTACAGCCAGTCAGTGGTGCACCAAGGCTCAAAACCATACCATGGCTCTAGTTTAGGGTTTATTTGCTTGTTAACCTTACACATATAAGCAGGGCTTCCAGCACTGGCTGTTCTCACAGCCTCTAGATTTCGCAAGATACATCTTGCAGACAAAAATTCACAGCACAAAATACAGTTCACCTATTTCTTAAATGGCACACTCCAGTTTTGAAGAATCTGTGCCAAAAATAGCACTATGACTTGCATGTGAGTTTACAATACACTGCTTTTGATGGTCAATTAAAAGCAAAACTAGTCACAAATAAGTGAGAGTCCAGAAATGCATGCACAAAGAGTTACATGAAACAGGCTTAATAATCTATTTCTATTGTTACAAAGCCTAATAAACACAGAGCTAGAGAATTATCCTCCCTTAAGTTTCTCATCCATGTTATTCTTTAAATCATGACACTCCCTCACCAACAGAATCCTTCCACTTCTCTCTACTGTGCCATACTGATGGAGCAAAGAGTCAGGGGACAATCAGCAGAACATAGCAGAAGTATGGCCAGTAGAGCACAACTGTCGAGATGTGGAAAAAAAATGCTATATGAGAATCAGCAAGACAAAAGCTACATGCTAATGCCCTCTCCCTTAGTTAAGAAGGGTTAGGGTGCATATAGAAAGGCTATGCTTATAAAAGAAGATAATCTGAAGGCCGCACTGTTCCCAAAGAAATGCAGTAACAACACTGAGTTCTCTTTAGTCTTGAGTCATAAGGTTAATCATAATTTTTTTCCTCTGGCTTAAAAATGGGGCACATAAAGAAATCTTGTGTAATTTAGTAATGTTATGCATAAAGGGTCTAGAGACAAGCCTTAAAAGAGCTACAGCATGTAGACCTGGCATACCTCACAAAAAAAATCAAGATTTATTACAAAACTAGTCAGGCAAAGAATCTTCTGAATTGCACAGAGCATCTGAAATCTCTGGTCACAAAAGCATTGCATTTTGTCTCTGGAGCAGTTCCTTACAAAGGAGTGACAAAAAAATTACTCCTGCTGGTGTCAGTGGAACTGGGATCAAGCCGTCCACATAAAAGGCACCACAAGCAATCCTTCCCCCATTACTCCTTTAGTTATTTCCAGTGAGATGAAGGTAAGTCAGCCTACATGGGTGTAGATGTAAGGAAAAGTGAGACATGCTGAAAATTCAATTAGCGTAACAGTTATGCAACAGACTACTAAATGTATGGGGTTTTAAACAGGTGGTCCTACCTAGAACATCTCCACTCAACCAGTCTTTATTGTTCCTCATGCTAAATACTTGTTACCTAGAAGTACCCTATAGTGACAGGGACTGTATGCTCAAAGACTACTTACAATACAGCCCTTTTCACCCTAGGCAATTACTTTCCTGGGGCTACTCCAAAAATCATGGAATGAACCCCCAGGAAAACATGACCTATGCAAGCTTAGTTAAGCAAGAATATAAATTAATATATGCTGACATTGCAGAAAAATAAAATCACAGAATAGGAATACTATTGAAATATATTTTGTATTTATAACTGATGCCAAGCAGTTAGAGAGAAATTTGCATTCTATCAAAATGGTTAAAACAGAATTATTTTAGAAAAGCTTTCACAAGATTATTCAAAACATTTAGGATACAGTATCAGTATCATACCCTTTTCTGTGTTACCAGGTTGATTTGGGTTTTTACATTGTTTAATAGTCAGTAAATGGAAAAGACTGCTGTCTTTTCACTTGACCTGCAGAGTTTTCATTGACAAAGTAATGAGGAACATTATCTGTGTCTGCAAAATAAACTACTATTATGAGAAGCTGTCATCACATTACAATGAATTGATTAAACCTTAGCAGCTGAAGTGGGCAGGTTTTCACAAGTCAAGAACATCAAAATTTTTCAAAGAAAATATGTAGAGTGTCTGTATTGAAGAGTAATTTTAATGTATGTTATTTGAGGCTTGATATTTACATTTACTTCTATAAAAATTATTTTAAAATGTGGTTCTATTTTAAAAAATGGTGTAGAATATTCAGAATTTTATTTATATCCTAAATGGGAAATGAAATGCTACAGAGTCCAGATCTGTCATTTGGACTCTGTATAAAGCAAACAACCGTGCTTGTCTTTCAGCAGCACCTCAATATTAGAATAAGCACTGCAAATCAGAGACAGCATCCTAATGACCATCCTGCAGACTCCATCAAACACAAAATACCACGATAAGGAGACTGCAAAAAGCAGCATGGGGCCTTCTCCCTCTACTCCCACCCATGCTCAGAGAAGCTAAGCTGGTCAAAACAGTATTAAGCCTAACAATTTTGACAAGGTTTCCTCTTACAGGTTTCCTTTCCCGGCTGTTTTCCCTGACTGCAACCTAATAAAGAGGCTGAATTACACTTTCCCCTCGGCACAGCTGTGATTCTACTGTGCAAGGATGAAGAAAAAGGCACTGGAACAGGTTGCCCAAACAAGTGGTTAAGTGCTCCACCCCTGGCAGGCCACGTTGGACAGAGCCGTGGGTGACATGGTCTAGTGCGAAGTGTCCCTGCCCATGGCAGGTGGTTGGAACTGAATGATCTTAAGGTCCTTTCCAATCCAAACCATTCTATGATTTTAAAACCTCAGAGTTGCGCAACCAGCACCACCACACATGCGGCGAAGAGCCCGTTTTCCCGCCCCCCTGCCCGGCGCACCCGTCTCGCCTCGGAACGACCCCCAGCGAGCTATACCCCTCCAGCAGCCCGCGGGGGGAGGCGCGGCAGGGCCCAGCAGCTGGAGCCTCCGGGCCGCTTCCCGGCAGCCCGCGCTCGGCGGGCCCCTGCTATCACCTGCCCGGACAAGGCGCCGGAACCCCCCCCTGCCCGGGGAGCCGGCTGAGTGTCTTTTACACCGGGGCCAGGCGGGGAGGGAGGAGCGAGCCCGAGCTGCGGACTCGCGTGTGGGTCTGAGCGGGCAGCAGGGCTGCTGCTGCTCCTCCGCCGCCACCTTTGCCCGCCTTGCCCTCACACCAGGGCTGCAGGAGGGGTCGGCCCTGAGGGAAGCGCAGGGCAGAGCGGCCCTCGCCCGCCACAGCCCCCTCCCGTCCCGCGCGCAGGTACCTTCCTACTGGGCATCGCCCCCTGACAAGGCAGCCACGTCCGCGGTCACGTGGCGGGGGAGCCCCGGGGGGCGGGGCCAAGAGGATCCCCCCCCCAAGCGCGCTCCCCCTGGGAGGTGAGGCGGGACAGGCTTTGTGTCCCCGCCTCCTACAGCTTTGGCGCCGAGAGAGTCGCGGCTCCTGATTGGGCGGGCGAGGCGGAGCGCGGGTGACGTTCCTCTCCGGGCAGCGGCAGGAGCTCCTGAAGACAGGAAGGACTCGCTGTGCACATGCGCAGCGCGGCGGCTATTGGATCGGTTGGCGGGGCGGGATGGGGGTGGCATCTGTGAGGGAGGAGGGCCGTCGCTCTCTTCATCCGCGCTACCCTATTACCGCCGTGGTGCGGCGCCCTGGCAGCTCTCATCATTGCACATCTTTCTCTCCGTGCCTCCCGTCCTCCGGAGTGCCGAGGCGAAGGCCAGGTGCCACACCCTCGCCCCGCACCGGGGTTGCTGGTTGACGGCCGGCTGAGTGTGAGCCAGCTTGTGCCCAGCCAGCCAAGAAGGACAACGGCATCCTGTCCTGCAGGAGAAATAGTGTAGTGATCATCCCCCTCTGGTCGGCCCTAAGTGAGGCTTCACCTCAAATACTGTGTGCAGTTCAGGGCCCCTCACGACAAGAGAGACACTGTGCTAGAGCAGATCCAGAGAACGGCAACAAAGCTGATGAAGGGTCTGGAGCAAGTGTGATGAGAAACAGCTGGGGTTGTTTAATCTGTAGAAGAGAAGGGGGACCCTGTTGCTCTATGCAATTATGTGAAAGGAGAATGGAGAGAAGTGGGAGTAGGTCTTTTCTCCCAAGTAACAGGTGACAGGATATGAAGAAATGGCCTCAAGCTGTGCCAGGGAGGTTTAATTTGGATAGTGGGGAAAAATTCTTCATGCAGAAGGTGATCAGGTATTGGACAGACTGCCCAGGGAAGTGGTGGAATCACTGTGCCTGGAAGAGCTCAAAACCTGTATAGATGAGGCCCTCAGTGACATGGTTTAGTTGGTTTAGTGGTGGATTTGGCAGTTCTGGGGTAGCAATTGGACTTGATGATCTTAATGGTCTTTTCCAACCAAGTTGATTCTATGATTCCTCACAGTGTAGCAGTTTCAAAGGAGGTATTAATGGTCTCTGCATGCACCTACCAACTGGCCCTCCTGAGGCTCACAGAGTTTTTCTGTCGGGAAGCACCATTGCTGGCACTGCATCCCTTTACCCTGCCCCCACTGAGCTGTGCCCCCAGGTTGGTTTCCTGTGGAGCTGGGGGAGGCTGGAAACAATGAGGGGCGACAGGGCCAAGGTCACCTATTCCTTTGTCTGATTTCTCTGGGACTGATGCGGAGAGCTGTGGCTGAACTGCGTGTTGCAGGAGAAGTTCTCCAGCCTGTGTTTCGTCTCTGTATCCTTCATGATAGCCAAGTTCAGTCAGGAGTAAACCTCAAAAGAATGGTGCTGTTTAATGCCACAAGGAAATAAAGCACTGGGATATAAACACTGGCTAGATATCTAAGGAAGTAATGTCTGAACATAAGACACTTCATGAATAATGTTTGCTGTTAAGCCATTAAGAGTTTTAACTCCCAAAACCACAAGCAAGCTGATAAATTTACAGGTAAAAAGGGTAATGTCAGTGCTAAGATGTAGCTACTTGGAATTAAAACTGCTTGGAATAGACCTTCTCTTCCATTGCAACTGAAGAGGAAAAAAAGGCTGATGACCTTTTAAAATGCTTTTCTTCTGATGCAAGTGGAAACACTGGCAGAAAAGAGATAGATATGTAATTTTTTCTTGCTTTTGTATGTTCTTGAGAAGTTCACTTAGGCTGACAGTGCTGCTGTTAAACAGAGTTAAGAATAATAAACAAAATAATTGTATCTCAGAATTTATGAAGCACATTTTGATAGAAGGCACTATATGGCTTCATTTTTATTATTAAAACCCTAATTGCATGTATCTAAGTTTACAGTTTGTATTTGTTGCAAGGCACCCCGTGGCCAATACCCGTCTCACATTCACTTTATAAAACTGCCACTAATTAAAATGGATTTTACAAGGAGAGGAAAGCCAGAAACAGTATCATCCAAATCCGATGCTGCCTTTGATTGTTATGTTCAAAACAGAGTTAAAAGTACTGTGTTCTCATCCTTCCAAATATTTACAGTATTTCTTTTGAGATTGCCAGACTGACAAATTAATTCTATCATGTATCACCAAAGTGCTTTTCTTTGATATTTGAAAAGTATGTTATTGTACTATCCAGTTAAACAATCTGTGTTGGAGCTAAACCACAGAGAAATGCGTGGACCATGGAAGTCTCATCTGCTCTGTTTGGTGATACTGCATTGTTTTTTTCTGTACATAAACTCCTTGCAAGGTGCTTACACCTGGGAGGAACTTACTTCTATAGATTTCCAAGAAGATGACTCAATTAATAGATTTCCTTTATGTGTTTTCATGTTCTTCACAAAAAAGGACTAAAATGACATGGAGATAAAGGAAATGGGTTGGAAAACCACCCTATAAATTAGGAATTAAAGCTGTGATTGTTTTTTTTAAATAATGTTTCTGTGGAGAAAGAATAATACATGCAGAACTTCTCAACAAAAGCATAATTTTCATAATACCAGTACATTTGTATTCAGGTCTCCTAAAAATTTCTGTGCATCATGCTTTTGGAAGTCATATTAATTGTCTATACAATTTTTGAAAAACTGTTTTTTTTTCATCTACATGTACAAGCACGAAGTTGTGGCTGCCCCATCCCTGTTAGTGTCCAAGGCCAGGTTGAACGGGGTTTTGAGCAACCTGGTCTAGTGGAAGGTATCCCTGCCCATGGCAGGCGGGTTGGAATTGGCTGATCTTTAAGGTCCCTTCCAAACCAAACCATTCTATGATTCTATGATTCTATGCCTGTGTTCTCATAGGCTTAAATAGTAGTTTGAGTCTGTTGTTTCATCTGATACACTGATTGTGTTTGTGTTCAAGATCAAATTTGCTGCTGCTCAGGGAACATTAAGAAATTTTATACTTTATGTATTTTTGTTGCATGAAAATTCTGTGAAAAATACAAAATTCCTGTTAACAATAACATTGAATTTTTTTTAGTGAAGTCCAACAAAGAAAGAGCATGTATTTGTCAGTGGTGCTGTGGATTGCACGAATGTCTCTCAATGCATGTGTAGAAAGAGCTTCTCTTGCAAAGAAACAAAATGTATTTTATACAAAGGAGCCAAAAGATAAGGAGGCTTAAATTACTGAAGTTTGGAGAACTCGTTTATATTGATTGACTGTGCTTGTCCTTCATTCTAATATGGGTTTATGGATTCATTTCCTCTTATGAAGCATTAAGTTACAGCTTTAAAAGCTTTCTAGTGTATAAAGCCCGATACCAACAATGTCAAATTCAAATGCAGAGAAAGGTTTTTGGTTTAAGTCATTTCCTTAGTGAAGTTTTAAAAGTCACAAACATCCCAGCCACTCAACTGGGATGAGATGGATGAGGAAGAACTCGTTATTTCAGAGTCTGTCTCTGACCAGGGTCAGCTGGATTTTTGTGCATCTCCCAGGCAAGAGGTGATCCAAGGCTTAGGCTAGATCCCAGACAGATCCCCAGTCTAGATCCAAAATAACATGTTCTTCTGTAGGCTGTGTTACAGTTTGATGACTCCAGCCTTTCTAAGGTTTCCTAGGAAACAACATGAAACACTTCAGACTTTTTAATCCCCATACTGCAGTGTCAGTTCCACTTTAAATTAAGTTGTAGCTTTTCAGAGTAGGATGCATGGCTATGCGGAGGCAAACTTTAAACGTGTGGAAAAAATGAGAAAAAATCCCAGCAAAGCCCCAGGGGGATGCCAGATTTTAAGTGAAGCAAACGGGGTCAAGATCTTACATTCATGCAAATTAAAAATTAATTGTTGATCATTTAAGAATCAAGGGCAAAAATAGGTTTTAAATTAATCAACATCCCCAGGAAGCATCTGCTTACCTGACTTTTCCCTGGGTCATAAAGCCATGAGGCACTCAAGCTTCCAGGGCCTCCTGGCTGCCAACTGCAACAAGGTGGCTGCACACTGGGCCTAAGCCCAGTCATCTCAGCGTCCCATCACCAAGTGCTGCCTGTAGCATCTTACAGTGACTGACAGTTTTATGTCTTCTCTTGCCATTTCTTTGTGTTTAGTGCTATAAAAGGAATATGAGTACATAACTTCCTGAGAGACAGTCACATTTGGGAAGCATATTTACCAAACGTCTCTGTAGTTCAGTGAGGTTAAGCATAAATAAAGATTTTCCAAGCTGAAACTGAACATGTATCATCAAAGTATTCTGGTTTGGCTCTAACTGGTGAAAAAAAAAATGCAGGCACATAATCAGAGCTGGAAGAAAGTGGTGCTTTTTAAACTTCAGTCATTAGAGCAGTTTACTACCACCAAAGTTCTTCCTGTTAGTTTAATTCAGTGAGATTTTAAAACTACTGAGGCACTGATAACACTGCACTTCATATATTTTAGTAACTTCAGAAACTCTCTTAGGTCTAATATTGATACTATTTGAGCATAATTGGTTTTATCGTGACTATGGCGTACCTTTGTGTTAAAGACTTTACAAAGACTGTTCTTGAAAAACCGTAAGTAATGCCATGCCCAAGAGTATGTTGAAAAGTGGATGGGGTCTGCTGACGGTCTACAGTCAGGAAGATATTTCCTCTTTGAAAAGCTCAGCTTAAGCATCCCTTAAGCCTAGAGTGTATATACTGCTGGGGGAAAAAGTGTTGATTGGCATGGATTCATGTGCATCCATGCAGAACATTTCTAGCTGCTCCACAGCAGCCTGAAAGGACCTGGCATGATCCAAAGCAGAGTCCAAAGCACACACATAAGTGGTGTGGACAGGGAAGTCCAGTGCTCAGCAGGCTTTCCCATTAGCAAACTGGAGGGAACCAGGGCACAGGCTAAGTTGAGTACTCTCTTTTGATTGTCCTTGCTACTGAGTTGTCAGCAGGTGCTCAGGCTGGTGTATTCTGAAGCAGTGCCCCTGTTTAAGAGCTAGCACTAGCCAGGACTTGTTTTTCACAGGCAGTATGGACAAGGCTGCCCATGGGCAAACTGAAATTGCGAATGGACAGCTGGCTTTGGGACTGATACAGCAATTTTTGAGGAGAGATGTGATCATTTTCTAGCATTAAATACTTTTACTAGGTTAAATAGCCCTGAGTTATAAACCAGGTTAAGAGACCAAGATAAGCTTACAGAGAGCCTGGGACTTAAAATGAGCCTCTAAAATGATTCTAGCCACCTTAGAAAAGCTTTCTTCTTTTACAGCATAGAAACCCTGAATATTAACAGATTTATGCTAGCCCATACAGTGATAGGGAGGGAGGCACCGCCTGAATCCTACAAGTTACACATTCTAGGGGCAGATGATGTATCCCACACTGCTCCCTCTTTACGTGTTTTTCCTAATACATTAGTCTCTTCTTCAGCTGCCTTGGTAGCTGATCATTATGGGTTTGCTCTCTGCATGATTTCTTTCTGATTTTTCTTACTTCTTGAAATAGAGGCAGGAATGTACTATTCAGTGCACTAGTCTAGATAAAGGTTACTGCATAGCAGGCAGCTTTAAGTAGGTGAATAAACAAGACACTGTCATAAATTATTAAAAGCCAAAGTTGTCATACTAAGCAGTCTTCCCTATGCAGGAGTTCCATCATGATTAATGTATTAAAATAACTTGTAGCAGAGAGAGTGAAACCTGAAAGCCAAGGATTTATTCTAAGCCATCCTGAGCTCTCATCTCTTTGCCTACCATTTTGATGGATTAAGAATACAACTTGTCTTGATGTTTAGTGTCCTTTTTTTTTCTCTTATTTAAATACCATTTGTATCTGTGGAACAGCTATTCTTTTTAACTTTTTCATGCAAGTACTAGTGCTACAATATGCCTGCTCTTTCAAAATAATAAATCACTGCTTTCCCCTCAGTACAACACATAATTAATAAACAGTGCTGAAGACCTAAGAATTCCCCAGCTGATTTCACTGTATTCAAATCTGACCTTGAATTATTCCCTCCTGAGCTGCAGAAAGGCATGTTTGGGTCATTTACTGTGTAACTGTCAGAAATGTCCCAGCCACAGTTGTTAAAACACTTTAACTTTTTCTGTAGTGAAAGTTAACTGTACTCTGATTTGGGCTTTTGTCTGTCCACACTCAAGCTCCTGAAATGGAAGCTTGTTCAAGGTTATAATGTTCACATGCTGGTGCCAGTTAGAGCTCCTCTTTGCTCAGACTACAACTCATTTGTTTTCCAGAAGACATCAGAGAATGGGCTACAGCACTAAGTCTACTTTCACTGCTCTTCACACAATCCTGCATGTAGGGCAGATAGCTTGGATCGCAGCTCAAACAATTGTCTGGAAAAGAACTTTAAAACATCTCAGATTGAAAAATATAACTATAGAATAACCTCTAAACATATACATGGATACACATCAGGTGCAGCAGTAAATCACATGGCTGTGGGTTTTGCTCACACCTGGGATTGGCTGGCCTTCGTCCTTGGGCCAACCATTCATATGAACTGTGAAGCCTAAATCAAGGATGTTTCTTAAATCAAAGGCTGGCATGTGTCAGTATAATTTCCACAATATTCTCAGGTGTCATGTTACTTGTGTCATAGCTTGCTCTGTGATGTTCCATACCCAGTCACCAGTCTGTTTCCCTCTCTTCAGTATAGCTTTTCTAATGCTGCCTTCTTTGACATGCTCATCAGCTGCCACAGAACATGCTGAGGTATGAATTAATGAAATTTCATTTTTAGGTATATATATTATATGTAATATATATTTCATTATTACGTATATATATGTTCTCAGTTTAGTGGAGTATTTATGAGGGTTTTCTGTTTATCACTAAGACAGTTTGGAGTGAAGAATAGGAAATAAAACTTCTGTTCTATATCCGCTATATCTATATATCTTCTATATCTATATGTCTTCTATATCTACATCTTTTTAGCATGAATTTAGAGGCATGCAAAGAGAAAAAATACTTTGGAACCTTCTACAGTTCAGAAAAGCAAGCACCTTTTCTACTACTGTCTGTCACAGTCCTAATAGTTGTTCAGACAGATTTCTGCTTTCGTGTTTGAGGCTTATGAGTGTTGAAGTTAAGAAGTGAAAGTGATAACTGTAAACTTTAGTAACTTAGTTGTGCTGAGTACAGTAGTAGTCATGAGTCTTCTGAGATACCCTTATAGATAAATTCAATAACATAATACAACTTAAAAAGATGAAAATAACAATGAGAGGTGAAGGGCATCCCAGATAAAAATCCCAAATAAAAGTTAGCATATGAACAGTAATTAAAATTAGACTTGGCTCCTAAAAAATGTAAGCTCCAAACCTCTAATTATCCCAACTGGAATAGAATCATAGAATCATAGAATAGTTAGGGTTGGAAAGGACCTTAAGATCATCTAGTTCCAACCCCCCTGCCGTGGGCAGGGACACCTTACGCTAAATCATATCACCCAAGGCCTCGTCCAACCTGGTCTTGAACACTGCCAGGGATGGAGCATTCACAACCTCCCTGGGCAACCTATTCCAGTGCCTCACCACCCTAACAGGAAAGAATTTCCTCCTTATATCCAATCTAAACTTCCCCTGTTTAAGTTTTAACCCTTTACCCCTTGTCCTATCACTACAGTCTCTAATGAAGAGTCCCTCCCCAGCATCCCTATAGGCCCCCTTCAGATACTGGAAGGCTGCTATGAGGAAATAGAATAGAGCTTTAACTCAGTAACCTGAAGTTGAGTGTTACAGTTCTGGTTTGTTTTCAAGAGCAGAAGTTTAGATATGCTGCTACTGGAAGCAGAATGACAGTGTAAGCACATCTAGTGATTAATAATAAAGAGCAAGAACAATTTTATGCAGTTTGCACTTAGCAATTTTAACTTGTATATGATTCCTATCAAACCTGCACAGTGCATTAGGTGCCTGGAAGAGCTTGTGGGGTGAGAGTAATGGATTTTAATTGATTTCCTTTCTGGATAGGATCCATTTGGTCAATAAGATCTCAGACCCTGATATCTATGATTTCAAACCTTCCTCTAATAGCATACAATGAAAGTAACACAAGGTGTTATGCTGTATGCTTAAATGCATTTGCAGCTGAAACATTATTCCTGATGTTTCCCTGTCTTTTGCCTGCACCAGTGCCCTGCTTCCCTAGAAATCAAAAGGTACAGAATGTACTGCAGACTGATGTGGTGTGAAGGGCTCTGGTGCAGGTGTCTTAATAAAAAGATGCAAGAGGTATATGATTCCTGGAAAGGAATGCCTATAAAATCTTAAATCCTCAGGGTCACCTGTTTCTAAACCACATAAATAACCCTGAGAGACGTTAAGAGGTAAGGATACACGGATATCATAAGGAGACCTTGTCACCGTGTTCAGTATTCAAAGGGTGGCTACAAAGAAGATGGAGACTCCCTTTTTACAAGGAGTCACATGGAAAAGACCACGGGTGATGGGCACAAGTTAGTCCTGGGGAGATTCTGACTGGACACAACAGGAATGTTTGTCACAATGAGAACAATCAGCCATTGGAATAATCTCCCCAGGGAAGTGGTGGATTCCCCAACACTGGATACTTGTAAGATTCATCTGGACAGCGTGCTGGGACATCTAGTCTATGTCATGCCTTACCTGGAAAAGCGGGACCAGATTGTCCTAGTGGTCCCTTCCAGCCTGGCATTCTATGAATCTATAATTCAGCGTTTTGTGTGCTGTCCTCACAGGCACATCTTTGCACATAATATAAACATGGCATCTTTAATACACCTTTAACCAGCTACGTTACTCGTGTCGCGGCTCGCTGTGACCACGGCCGCTGCTGCAGACTGTTCGCAGCACCGAGTACCGTGAGGCAATTAAAGGGGGCTAATGGCACGCTGGCACCGGGGCCGGAGGGACGTACTAGGGCTGCGGGGAAGTGTCGTGTCCCCCGGGAGCCACAGGGCATCGCCCACCGCCAGCGGGCACCCAGCCCTCGTACTGTACTGCACCGCTCCGTGCCTGGACGGGGGTGGCGGCACCGGAGGCAGGCCCCAGCCCGAGGGGCGCGGCCGGGGACCCGCCCCCGGCCCGGCCCCGCCGCCTCCCGTCCCTCCCGGCGCGGCGCGGAGCACAGCGGGGCGATGTGGCGGTGGCGGTATGTCAGCGGCCGGCAGCTGGATGGCTTCCGCCAGTACAAGGTAACGGCCGGACCCCGGGATCGGGACGGGTCGGACGCGGGTAGCGGCGTGCGGGCGCGGCGGCTGGTCCTCCCGCTTTGGCGTGTCTGAGCTCTGGAGGGCTCCGCTCTGCCGCGGCTGAATGCCCATCCCAGCTCTGCCCTGCTCCGCTCCGCTCTGCGTGCGGCCCGGCCATCCCTATGCCTGTGGAGGGTACCTCTGTGAACCCGTCGTGTCTCTGACCTGGCTGGGGTCTTGCTCAGACCCAAGTGACCAAGTGAGTAGGCGCTGGGTATTTGGGAAGCGGCAGGTCTCTGTGGAAACAAACTTAAGGGTTTAAGTGAGTAGCAAAATGTTTGAAAGCCTGGTACGTTTTTAAAAACCGTGGGTTGGGAGTAATACAGTGTTTCTGTAAGAAAGCCTGCTTTGCTGGTGCTTGTCTGGCTGTGTGCAAATTCTTCATACACAGGAATGTTTTGGCTTTGAGAAATACATAAGAAAGCAAAAAAATAAGCTTACTTTAAATAATTTGAACTAAACCTCATGTTTGCAAATAACAAGCCTGCAGAATCCAAATGAATGGGTGGATCATTTGGTATTTTTATTTACCAACGTTATGTTGCAGATTTAGGAGATACCTGGGTTTTGTTCCCAGGACATTACAGGTGTCTGAGATGGGCCATGCTACTCTGTTCACACAACTCTTACCTCACTTCATGTTAAAAGCACGGGGGCATGCCAGCTTCCCTTATGTTCAGTTTCCTAAAGCAGCTCCTGCCTCGTGCTCCCCATGGTTCTTGCCTTTGCCATGCACCCTCCCAACCTGGCCTCCAACCAGAGCTCTCAGCTTCTCCCAGCTCCTATCAAGTGTTTCCCTTCCCCCGGCCAGCAGTTATGCCTGCTCACTGCAGCGTGAATGGTGCTGAAGTCACTGTGGCTTCAGGAGCCTCCACCAGGTTACTTGTTAGGAACTTGTTATGCAGAGCAGGTAGTTAAAATGTACCAACCTGTTTGTGTTTCTCCAGTGACGGTGGGATAAAACATGCTGCAAGCTGCATTTGGCCACTAGGCCTAAGTTACACAGGCCTGTGCTTGAACACCGGAGCCACAGTCTAGACTGAGATCACCAGAGGAAAAATAAAAAGCTATTTTTAGCATAAACAGATATTATTATTTAAGTAACATTCCTAAAATATTCGTGTTGTAGTACAAATACAAGGAACGCTTGTATCACATTCTTCCTTATCACTTGAATGAAAGTAGCTGCAAATAAGTGCAGATGGGGAAGAATCAAAACATTTTTTTAAAACTTGTAATCACTGTGTGGTACTTAGGGATTACAGGGCAACTGAGAGAGAGAATCACATATCAAAACGTTTTACTTGAGTATATTGAAATTACTTTCCTTTCTTGGGAGCAATGCAAAGGCCATAAAATATGCTAGGTAGTTTTTTTAACTGTAGGAAATGGACATCACACTGGAGAAGTATCTGTTCACCTATGGTAAACTGTGGTAAGTACAGGTGCTAGAAGGTGAAATCAAATAGTCAGCTCTCTGTTATCTGAGCTGAATCAGGAGTGGGACATCTTGGAAATAAATAAATAAATCCAAATGACACAGGTTACACCCAGAGAGGTATAGCTGCATGAAGTCAGTGCTGCTGAGCTGGTGGGGTATCTGCACAGTCTTCCTGGTGCTCCAGGCTACAGGGGGACACTGCAGCAATGCCCATTCCCGAAGTGCTCCTCACGATGGGTCAAAGTCCACCAAGATGGAAAAGGAGTGTAGCAAGGAGAGGCAAGGAGACACTACTTACTGCCACAATCTTCTTTCCCACCTCCTCACCTCACCCTCCCATGCCTAGGGCTGCTACCACAACCACAGCTTTGTTCTTACCACCTCTCAGGCCTGAGACATGCTCTTCAACCTCATTGCCCTCTGGCTGCCATCTCCTCCATTCTCCTTATCAAGCCTAGGGCCTCACCTCATCCTGCTTTTCCAGCTTCCCAGCTCCTCTGAGGAGATTGCTGCTGCCTTTGCTGCCTCCTCAACAGGACTGGTGCTAAACTCAAGTTACTGTGCGTAGCAGACATGGGTTACCTCTTTACAATCACCTGGCTATCTCTATTGTGTGTTTCCTGATGGACCCAACTCTAGAGTACTGTGGAGGGGCACATAGGCTCACTTTGTGAAGAGCTAGATAATCTCTGAAAGGCTTTATTAGGCACATGTTGAGTATTGAGCTAAAACAGACCTAAAGCATCCCTTGGAAAATAGGTAGGGGCATCCACCTCTCCATTGTGCATTACATTGCAACATTATCAGTGGCTTAATATGCTCCATACTTAATACAATTTATCTGCTGAGCTGATCCGGGAGCTAATCATGACATAGCTTAAAAAAATAATTTGTGTAATCATCTCCTTTCATAAAGGTAAATTTAATAAATTAAAAAAACACTGTTCCACTTTCAAATTTTCACATAGCTGAACTCATTTCTCTGCCATGAATGCTGCAATTGTATGTCTCAGGCACTGTCTATCTCCTGTTTGCAGCTGGAGGAGGGCCTTGGCAACAAACCCAGCAGTTCTTTGCAAAGGAAATGGCAGACCTAACGAATGCAAAGACTTCAGCACCCTTTAGTCCATGGTATGTCAGGCTTTTGAAGCAAGTTTTCCCCAATTACCAAGCTCTAGTTTACATCACAGAGTGGCTCCAGAGCACAAAAAATAGTGTGTTTGAATGAACCTAAAATAGATGTACTAAGAACACAAAAGTACACCCAATGCATTTAGTCCATGGTATCATACTGGAAGCAGTTAACTGTAAAACCTTCTGAAATCCTTCTAGGATGGATGCTGGACCCTTATGACTAGCTATTTCACTATACAAATCTATTCCCATTTGTTCTGCATGTTAATGGGGATTCAGTTTTCTTTTTTTCTGCTCAAAAATGCACTGAGAACAGGTGGAGATGTGACGATGAGACAGTTCAGATGCAGCCCTGGGTATTGCTCCTGTGGTAATTCTGCTGCCTTTTTGCCCATGAGGCAGGTGAGCAGGTACTGATTTCAGGACAGTTGCATGCTCAGGTGATGTGCAACTCTAGAGCAGAAGCATCTGATACTTGGGCACTGTGCTATTCCCTAGGATCTGGAGTGACACAGCTGAAAAGCTGCAACCAACTGCAGTTGTAGGGCTTAGTTCATGTTCCTGCTTTTATATTCCTGTTATCAGCATTTTGCAGTTCTAGAGGAGCACTCATGGAGATTCACAGCTGCTTTGGGTTTCTGTTGGAAACAAGCAGTTCCGTGACAGCCAGTTGATGAGTACAAATAAAAGCAAAATTTGGTTCTTTATTTTTGTCCTCCTCACCAGAATGCAGTAATGTTAATGGTGAACTCTTGGTGCCATTGCCTCTTCTTATCACTGTGATCTTAGAATTTCCCTTGCAAATCTGCCTTGAATCAACTCTTCTACAGCACCTACACACAGATTTTCCAAGCCAGTAAACTCTGACACCTTATCCTCCTTCAGAATGAAAGAGATCTAAGGATAAACTACAGAGGTTTGCCTCAAAGAATAGAAAGAATAGGCCTTGGAAAATATGATTTAAAATATCAGAGATAGCATTAAAAATTAAAATACAAGTTTCCACATTTTCATCTTTGTATGTTCACACTTTTTCTATCCTCTAAGCCGTTATTTAGAGGGTAACTCTCTGCAGAGAATGGGGGGCCAGTAAATGAGGTATATGTGGTTTCATGTCAGTGGGACTTCTGATATTGTCCCACTGTTTCATAAGTAGGTAAAAGAAAGTAAGATGACATTACCTGATGCTAAAACACTTTGAAGAATAGGGTTATGATTCAAAATGTTCTTGAAAAAGGGACATAATGGCCAGAAATTGATACAAAGAAATTCAGTAAACAAGGTACAATGCAGAGGGGAAAGAAAACCAACATTTTGAGCATAAAATAAGAGGCAATGACTGCAAAAAAAAGATCCTTAGGGATCAGAGCATCAGCAGTGTTATGGCTGTTAGATTAAACAGAAGAAAGCTCTTAAGTGTGAAGTGTTATATATATGTCAAAGGGTTACATATGCTCCTATGCCTGACATACTGTTCAGGTATCAGCTGAAATAATGTGTCCTGCTTGTTTTGTCACACAGTTTATAATCCACAGCATGGCATCAGGAATATTAAGAGGCTTAGAAACGATGAGCTGTGAGAAACAGTCTGAGTACCGTGGGAGTAAGAGCCTAACAAACAGCCAGTTGGTCTTCATGCATGCCCTTAAAACAAACAAACAACCCAAACCAAAACAATATGTAAGTTTTGGCTGTGCAAAGAGAAATTTAAGGCAGGTGCTACATCATTCTTGTGTTGATAAGGATTACTGAAACAGGTACTAAGGGGGATTGTGCAATAGTTTTACCAGTCTTATGAAATGGTTTGATTTCTCTGATGGAGGATTTACAGTCTAGTGTTAAGTATTAATAAGCAGTTGCTTACACCTTTTTTTTAGCAAGGTTTTGGGCAATGTGTTCTATTTTCATGTGCTGATATGGTCGTTTGTCTCAAACAACTGGCTCATTACCTCATGGTAACTTGATCTGCTTCCTGAATGCATGCTGAACGTGATGCTGCCTTAGGTGAATGTGCTGGACTAGAAGACCTCTCAAGTTACCTGCCAGCTCTCATTTTTGTAGGCTGGAGAAACAAGATCAGACATATGAAGATCACATTTCAAGGCTCAATTGTTTCTCTCATACTGGCTCGTACCGAAAAAGCGAAGTGTGTTGAGTATGATTCTATGATTCTATAATCCAGTGAACTACTTTCTAGAAGTTCAGGATCATTCCAGATACAAGGCTGGTTTTCTGCTAAGTCTTTATGTATTTCCAAGGCTACCTGTATAACTATGAAATATAGATACATAACAGGTTCTGCTCACATTGATTGAATGGGAATTTTTCTTTTGATAGCAGTAGCATAAGGATTTGACATGATTTTGAA